TCAACAGCGTGTGAAAACGACAGTGAGGGGGAAAAACATCTTTAACAATGCAATTATTGGAACAAAACAAAAATAAATACATTTTTACACAACGCGCTTCAGTTTTCAGAGGCATCCAGTCACAGGAGAATAAAACACTTCAGAAGGCTTCAGGGCTAAGAGTTGAAAGACTGTAGATACTCGGGAGAGATCAGACTAGTAGACAGCGAAATGTTCTGGATTTCCATTCACTGCCCCTAATTACACAATTTATGATTCTAAATAAAAGAAACAATTACAAACATGCAAACAGAAAAGGCATAATTGCGGCTGTGTCTTTGCCATGCTGCCTGGAGACGTTTCGTTTGACTGAACTCTGTTCTCAAGTGACTGGGTCCTTAAAGCTGTTGCGTCGCTTTAGACCAGTGGTCACCAACCTTTTTAGGTCCAAGATCCCTGACCTCGGCCTTTATGAAAGACAAGATCTACCTATTGAAGAATTGATAGAAAACGACATCCCAGATTGTACTTCAAATTTTAGGCCTTTTACTTAGTATTTTAATTAGTGATGACGCGCTCATAGCTGATTCAGAATTCAGATTTTCTTTTCTTTCTTTCTTTCTTTTTTTTTTTACTAGCAAATTGGATTCTGATACTGATACTGATTTTTAAGCAAATTTATTTATTGGCTATTTGCTTTATAACAAACAAACTGGCTTTAAACAAAAATATCTAGCCATTTGAAATTAGAGGCAACCACTGCATTTTAATCATGATCTGCACGGGCAGTTGTTTTTGATTTGATTTAGATTAATTTCAGGATTAACAGAATGGACAGAATGGTCTGACTTTAGGTGTTATTTATTTATTTGCTACATAAAACATCTGCACGAAGCAGGTCTGAACAGCAGGTCTGAATGAGACGCACTCTCTGACAGCAGGTGGCACTAATGAACAGGGTTGCCAGGTTTTTCGCAATAAAACTAGTCCAATCGCGTTTCGAGGAGGGTTCGCCTGTAAAAATCGCATTCCGGGGGTAAAATACACGTTTTTCGGCGGCGATCTTCCAGTAAAATTCACATTCCAGGGACTAAATATCACGTTATTGGGGTCGCTTCAACCCGCGGACATGAACAACAACCCGCGGCAACAGTGTTAAAGTAGCCCAATTCCGCAATATAGCGTTTCCTTGTTTACCGCTGTAAACAAAGCAGAATTGTGCTTTATACGGAGGAGAAGAAAATGCCATTGCCATCGAAGACAGTTCCCTTCAGTGATACATTAATATAACCCCATAAATGTAATGCATTTTTGTACTTATTTTACTTTTTTTTTTCGGGATCTACTGGGACAGTGATAAAGATCTACGATCGCGATCGACGGGTTGGCGACCACTGGTTTAAATGGTTTAAATATTGCTCAGACATATAATAATAATTATTGTAATTTAATTTTAATTACATTTTTTTAACATTTCGTTAGAATTATTGCACTTTCATATAAGCACAAATCGAGAGAACATCAACTCCAGTGTTGCCAAGTGTGCGGTTTTCCTGCGAAATTTTTTACACTGTTGCGGCGGGTTGTTTTTTTAGTCTACATGTTAAACAATCCTCCTCTCACCCCTGTGAGAAATAGAATGCTGGGGGGACAGCAGAAAAAGACATGATTGGGCTAGTTTTGATTATCAGTTGGGCAGGTTTTGTTGCATGGACCTGGCAACCCTGATCAACTCACAGATTTAGTCACAGAAAACAGCACAATCGACTGAAAGTAAACAGTCTGGCTGTATTACACTTTTATTTGAGCAGAATATCTCAGTTGCTCAGCTCCAACTTAAATGTTTGCAGGTGTTTTCAGCTCATCAGCGGTATATCCATAATGTAGAGAGAGCACATGTGCATGGTTGCCAGGTTGGGATGATTAAGTAAACCACTGGGCAAAACATTTAGAGAAAAGCTCTAATTTAAGATCTATCAATCTATCAATTTATCAATCTACACATCCATCCATCTACCCATCATTATATACATCTTGTATTATCTAAATCATATTGTCTAAATCATCATCTTTGTAAACCTTCTTTTTCTAATATAATTTGTATAATATACATCAGCTAAATAACCTAGTAAAATCCAACTTTTGGCATTTTAGATGTGGAACAAAGTGCACAAACGTCATGTTTCTTGTCTCCTCAGTGGACATCTCATGTGATCCTCCTTTCCGTTTCCGTTGTGATAACACCCGCTGCATCTACAGTCACGAGCTCTGCAACTCTATAGATGACTGCGGTGATGGAACCGACGAGAGGCCGGAGCATTGTGAGGAACAGTTAATAGATAGTTAACCATATGTAGTATTTACCTAATTATACCTTTTAAATTCCCTAAATTCTATTGAAACTAGTAAAGCACCCTGTTTTGTGTGAATGGTTCCTCAGGTGTGACTCCCACACATGGGCCCTGCTCTGCAGACGAGTATAAATGTGGGAACGGTCAGTGCATTCCTCTGCAGTACGCCTGCGACGACTATGACGACTGTGAAGACCAGACCGATGAACTCGGCTGCTGTGAGTTTTGTTCATTCACTCACCCACACGTTGTTTCTTATTTTCTTTCTTGAGTGAACAAACATGGATGAAGCTCCAAGAAAGACAAAAAGCTTAGAGGACTAGATCCTGTTTTCCTGCACGTCTTTGTAACATTTCTTCGTCTGTCTCTGTTAGACTATGGCCATGGGCGCACATGCAGTGAGAATCTGTGTGAGCATAACTGCACGGATTTGTCGACTGGGGGCTTTATTTGCTCCTGTAGAACTGGATATAAACCCAACCCGGAGGACAAGAACACCTGCGATGGTTTGTGAATCATCTGAATACTTTCTTTATTAGAAGACCTCAATATTTACAGTAAAACGGGCTTATAGTGGTACTCCGGAAGCCAATCAGGACAACAGGCACTGCTGTAGGGGCTCCAGCGACTGATCTTCAAACCCAAGTCAAGCCACATTTATCTATAAAGCGCTTTATAAAATACAGATTGTTTCAAAGCAGCTTCACTGAAATAAACAGGAAAATAACACTTGCAAAATTCAGCAATAATAAAAAGACTTTAATTTTAGCTGTAAAGATCACTACAGAAGGCAGTTATCATTATTTAGCTCCGATTAGTTCAAAAACAGTGTCAATGTTTCAAAGTTCAACAATTATATAAAAAAATCAATTTAGCTATAAGCAGCTCTACAGGTACAATAGTACCATTATTTAGCTCAAGTTAGTTCAGTGTTATTTTAATATAACTGACATACTATTATAGTTTATATTAATATGTTGAATTAGTTTTTATTTTTTGTATTTTCCATTTTAATGTTCACTTGAGTTAAAAGATTTTTTTTGGGGGGGGAAGGGTTTGTCATTTTTATTGTTTATTTTTAATAATAATAATAAATTATGTAGTGTGTGTGTATATATATATATATATATACATTTAGTTATTTTAGTACATCAATTTAAACTAAATTAAAATGAAAAATATTGCGACAACTAACTGAAATAATTTTTTTAAAAGTTTAGTTTTTTGTATTTTATTTTATTCCAGTAAACATTTGTTTTATTTCGAGTAACAAGAATGTTTTTGTATGGTTTTAGTTTTCATTTTAGTTTAAGTTGACTATAATAACCCTGGATTCAATTCAGTTCACTGACAGTGTCGATGTTGGAAAATTCCTCAATCATGAAACAAATTTGATTCAGCTATAAACCAGCTCTACAGAAAACTAGTGATATATTTTTCTTTTATTCCGTCCTTTGCATGGACACTTTTCTGTCTGCATGAAAGCAACACAAGAAGTGTGTTCTTGTATAATGTTACCACAGCGTTATGAATTGAAATGCTTCCTGTATGTATAATGTGAGGTGTTTTCTGCTCATCTGCAGATGTGAACGAGTGTGAGATTTACGGGACATGTCCACAGCTGTGCAGGAACACTAAGGGCAGTTATGAGTGTTTCTGCGCTGAAGGGTTTCGATCAGTGGGAGAGCAGCTGGGAGTCGAATGCGCTGCTGAGGGTGAGGCCTGTGGTTTATTACTTCTCTTTTTTTTTACATTTTACAGCCTCCTGCTCTTTCTTTATACCATTCTTTCTTTCTCTGTTTCTTATATATCTGCCTCTTTTATCGTTGTCATATTTAGCATTCTATTTTAAATATTCTAAAATGCTACATTATAATTTTCCTGCATTTTAAGATATCATCTTTAGGCCAGATTCAAGCAGCATTGCATGTGTCCTTCAGGGAGAAGGCAATCCCATAATGCACTGCGGCAAGCTCAACTGAAAAAAAAGACGAGAGAAACGTTAATTACAAATATAAATATTTTATTTTAAATATAAATATAATTTATTCAGTGATGAGTATAAAAAAATCAGAATGACTGAAAAAAATTTTTGCCATCAAATGTATATTCAAAAAAAAAAGAACAACAAAATATTACAAAGCATTTCAAAAATTGACTGAAAATTGACTATTTTATCCAATATTTGTATGTTTAACGTTGTAAACTTTCATTTTCTAATATAATTTGAATGGCATCCCTTACCAAAAAGAAGTATACTTCAAGTTTATTTTTAAAGTTCTTGTTGTTTCGGTTTCTTCTTCACCGCTTGTGTTTTGGATATTCTGTACAGAAGATGTGTAATAGCGCCTCCTACCATTTAACAATGAAACCATGGATTCCCGGAGCACAAGTATAGCTAAAATTTTTCTAAGTATAAGTCAAGTATACTTAAACGTCATTCTAAGTATATTTCTGAGAAGTACATAAAGCACATTTCTGAGAAGTACATAAAAAGTAGACTGAAAGTATACTTTCCTATTTTTAGTTATAAAAGATATCAGATATAATGCAATAAAATGCAACTTTTTATGTTTTTTTTTTTAGTAGCGAGGTGTTAGCTTAGCAACCTGCTAATGCTAAATGCGAATGCTCTATTAATTTGATACATATTTATGCTCATACAGAAGTCACTTTCAAACCAAGCAGCTTTGCGTTGGTCAAACCTAAATGGGGAAATCTTTTACCCTCGTGCAATATTTCTGATTGTGTAAATTCCTATTTAAATGACTGGATTTTTGCCTGTGATAATTCAACAAACAATGGTAAATATGAACTCACCTGTAGCTACAAATGTAGGCAGCAATTCAAGTAACTAGGCTTTAATAACGTCACAATTTAACGTGTCACTTGCTCACTCTTCTGTTGTTTCTTTTGCTCCCTGTGTGTTTTTTTCTCAGGAAATCCTCCCGTCTTGTTATTGCCTGATAACGTGCGGATCCGTCGATTTAATCTCTCATCGGCGCAGTACTCAGATTATGTGGATAATGCAGAGCACATTCAGGCACTGGACTACCTGTGGGACCCAGAAGGCCTCGGTCTAAGTAAGACAATATTCACGGGATATCTCATCTATTATGACACATATGTTTAATGTTTCAGGCAGATGTAGCACAGGGAAGCACAATTTACAGCACAATAGAGCAGAACTATGGTTATTTTGGTATTATTTGTATACTATTGTAGTACTTATTCATGTTTTGAATTAGCCTTTATTTTTATATTTTATATCAGTTTTTGTATATCAGTTTTCATTGTAATTTTCATTTTAATAACTTTATCTCCTTTTATCATTATTATTTTATTTTCTATTTAGCTTTAATTTATTTTTATTTGTTTTGGTTTTAGTAATTTTATTACTTCAACTTCAACTTATTTTACTGAAGTACTTTAGTACTTCAACTTAAGCAGCATTTTATTTTTATTTTCAAATTTTCATTTAGGTTTTAAGGTTAAGTTTCCTTCTAATATTTGTGTTTTATTTGATTTCAGCTTTCAGCTTCATTTAATGAAAATTATTTTTAATAGTTTTAGTTCAAAAATAATAACACTTAGCGTAGAGAAATGTTTGTATTATTTATATACTATTATAGTTATTATTAATATTTTGCTATTATTATTAATAGCTTTTATTTTTGCATTTTTAGTTTTCATATTCAGTTTTAGTCGTTTTGTCGTTTTTATTATTTTTGTTATTTTTTTATTAGTTTTTTTGTTTGTTTGTTTTAATAGTTTTAGTTAAAAAATAATAACACTTAGCGCAGAGAAACTTTTGTATTATGTATATACTATTATAGTTATTATTAATATTTTGCTATTATTATTAATAGCTTTTATTTTTTCATTTTTAGTTTTCATATTCAGTTTTAGTCGTTTTTATTATTTTTGTTATTTTTCTATTAGTTTTTTTTGTTTGTTTGTTTATTTATTTATTTTAAGTAATTTCAGTACTTCAACTTCAACTTACTTTATTTCATTTAGTTGCAACATTTCAAATTTTGTAATGTTTATTTACGTTTAGGTTTTCATCTAATATTTATATTTTATTTTATTTCAGTTAACAAAATTTTTTATTTTTTTTTAGTTTTAGGTTAACAATAACAACACTGAGCAAAACAAGAAGTTTCTGGAAATTAAAAAAAAATCCATCTCGGATCTGGTTGGTTTGGTTTGTGACTTGAACTCTTTACTGAAGTATGTTTTGAAATTCCTGCCAAACCAACCAAAGTTCCTGAAAACATGATCACTGTTGCACTGTTGTATTATTGTGTTTCTGTAATCAGGTTATGTATTCAAACTGAAGCATAATTTGACATTTCTGAAAATGATTTTTCAGGTATAGTGTACTGGACAGTGTTGGGACGAGGCTCAGAGTTCGGTGCGATTAAGAGGGCCTACATGACCACGTTTGATGACCATGGAAATAATCCTGTAAAGGAGGTGGACCTGAACCTCAGATACATCTCCAGCCCTGACGGCATCGCTGTGGACTGGATTGGAGGGTACGTGAAATACTTCTCTAAACGTTACTGTACTTGAGCTCTGATGCAGATTGTCTAACTGGTTACTGGGACAGTTCCAGAGAAATAAAAAGTCCTTCTGCTATGTGTTTTGTCTTTTCCATTAGCCATATTTACTGGACAGATGCTGGCACTAATAGAATCGAAGTGGCAAAACTGGATGGACGTTACAGAAAGTGGTTAATTCACAGCGATCTTGATCAGCCAGCCGCTATTGTGGTCAATCCTAGTCTAGGGTAAGAATATGAATATATAACTGCTCATTTGAGATTAAAATACTGTATATTAAACTATATATTTACTGTATTTTGGGATTAAATATAGTAAACAGCCTCGAGGGATGGCATGGTTATGACATTTTTAAAATTGTGATTTTTAGGTCTTGGAAAAGTCATGGAAATAAAATTAATACATCTTATAAAAATAAAAAAATCTTAAGCACTTATCTAATAATCACAAAACAACTTACAATATAATTGAAAATTCATTGATCATACGGTGTGGGAACTCTGATTCTTCAAAACTCATACTGTTGTTGTCAATAATGAGCATTATTTTGTGCATGTATCTGTTATAGTAAGATGTTCTGGACCGACTGGGGCAGAAAGCCCAAGATTGAGACGGCGTGGATGGATGGCCAGCACAGAGAGGTGCTGTTAGATGAAGATCTGGGCTGGCCTACTGGTTTAGCTTTGGACTACCTGAATGAAAACCGCATCTACTGGTGTGACTCAAAAGAAAACATCATTGAATCGATGAAAGTGGACGGAACAGACCGGCAAATCATCATATCAGGAGGTGAGACATCGGAGCAATACATCCCAAAACTGCTTTTGACTGGCCAATGTTCTCACGTTTGTTGTTATTGCAGACATCGGTCACCCCTACAGTCTGGATGTGTTCGAGGGACACGTGTACTGGACGACTAAAGAGAAGGGAGAAGTGTGGAAAAAAGATAAGTTCGGGAAAGGAGACAAGGTGAAGGTGTTGACCATAAACCCCTGGCTGACTCAAGTACGCATCTACCAGCAGCACCGACACAACCACTCGGGTGAGACCGGGAATCCTTACGTCTCAATACATTACTACATTGTGCTGTGTCAAGTGAAACAAATATTATATGTGACCCTGGAGCACAAAACCAGTCTTAAGTCGCTGGGGTATATTTGTAGCAATAGCCAAAAATACATTGTATGGGTCAAAATTATCGATTTTTCTTTTATGCTAAAAATCATTAGGATATTAAATAAAGTTCATTTTCCATGAAGATATTTTGTAAATATTTTCTCAATATTTAGATTTTTTTGCACCCTCAGATTCCAGATTTTCAAATAGTTGTATCTCGGCCAAATATTGTCCTATCCTAACAAACCATACATCAATGGAAGACTTATTTATTTAGCTTTCAGATGATGTATACATCTCAATTAAAACAAATTGACGCTTAAGACTGGTTTTGTGGTCCAGGGTCACATATTGTATTCTAGTATGAATAGTTTTATGTCACACTGACAGTATATCACAATATAGTTATTTAGTTAAATTTAGTGAAAACATTGTTGTGTTAAAGCCTATATTTGGATAATTCATTGAATAAAATACTACACAAATAAGGTAGTTCATTTTCATATCATCTCATTTATTTCCCCTTTTTATATTTGTTTTGATGGAATATTATTTTTAAAAATGTATGAATTATGAATCGGTCAGTATTTAATACCTGATTTACAAAAAAGACTTGAAATTAAAATGGATAGTTATGAACCTTAATTCTGGTTTTTAGTGCCTTCTTTTTTATCTTTTAATGTAATATTTTAATTGGTATATGCTATATTAATTATTATGGTTTTAGTGCCTTTCTTCTTATCTTTTAATATAATATTTTCATTTTCAAATATTGTATTGAAAATAAAAGTAAAGGCACTAAAAAACAGAATAATTAAGATTTATTTTATGTTTTTGAAAAAAGTCACTTTTGCTCACGAAGGCTGCGTTTATTTGATCAAAAATACAGTTAAAAAATATAAATTTTGCTAATATTTTTGCAGTTTAAAAGAATGGTTTTCTTTTTTAATGTATTTTAAAATGTAATTTATTGCAGTTAGACATTATTTAATACCTGATAAGGCTTGCAATTGATATGGCTATGCATTTTATATATATAAATGAAAAAAAAAATTATATATATATATTAGCAATAAATGACTTATATGTCTAAATAGGTCTATATGGTCATGATAGTGGTTTTGCATTTGTCATTATACACAATAACAACTGTGTAGAAACCACATCTGAGGTGAATTAAGCTGAATGAAAGTGCCAATTCCTCAGTTCCTTTTCACCGCATTTCTTTTAGCCAAAGATAATTCCTGTAATAGTAATAGTAAATCACCGTTCACATTCTCTTGCAGTGCTCAACCCCTGTCAGAGTGTCTGCAGTCACTTGTGTTTGCTGCGGCCGGGTGGATACACCTGTGCCTGTCCGCAGGGCTCCACGCTGCTCGCTTTCAACAAGAATGAATGTGATGCCGGTAAGAGATGAACAGATGCCCACTGCTGTTAGTTTATGAGAAGAGCTGACTGGCTACATTGCATCCCATCAGTCCATTTCATAACATACATGCATGTGCTGCTACTACTGCATGTTTTCATTATTATCGTGGTGTTTTGACTTCAGTGCATTGATACTGAGATAAAAGTGAGTGTTTGATTACATTGTGGCTGTGTTGCATTCATTCATGGCGTGCCTTGCACCTGTAGCCATTGAGGCAGAGGTGTCCATGCCGCTTGCATGCAGATGCATGAACGGAGGAACATGCTACACTGATGAGGGAGGCCTGCCGAAGTGCAAGTGAGTGTGAACGCTAGTGTAGAGCATCACAGCCGTTATTTAAAGGGCTCATATCATGAGGAATCATATTTTCATTGACATTTTAAGAGATGTGTTCATTGTTCTATGACAACTTGCTGGAACTTTTAGAACTTAGTACTTCCACCCCAATGAAAAAAGGCTATGTAAAAAAGACTAATTAAACTAAGCTGCTAAAATGACTGATGTCAGATATATGAATAAAACAATACAAATGGTGTATATATATATATTTATACATACTGTACATACCTTCATATAAACCTATTATAATAAATATGAAGTATAGGCCTATGAAATGTTAACAATGCTATAATTACTCATTTTATCATCAGAAATTGAAAAAAAATCTATTTAACGGATGCATCAGTATCTATATTGATATAGGTGATACTTCCCACATGTACATGGTAGTATGTATAGATAGATAGATAGATAGATAGATATTTAGTGATCAATGACTGCTGCAATATTTAATATGAACTCATAATAATTTAATCATTTAAATATTTTAAAAATTATTACATTCAAATTACATTTTTAAAAATTACAATTTGTTTGAACTAAGCTTCTGAAATGACTCGTTCTGAACATTAGCAACATATAAATACATCTGAAAGCATGAACACATGTAGCAATGGTCCAAAATCGAAATGATTATTTCTGGAAAAGAAACTATTAACATTACAAATGTACACAAGGTAAAAATGTAGTTAAATAAACTGTTTAAAGATGCATGCTGTGACCCCTTTATGGACATGGAATGAAATTATTATTTATTTTTAGAATAAAAGAGAAATTGGTTTTGTCAGTGTCAGATTGTCTCTAACAGGTCAGTGTTTTTGCTCCTCAGGTGTTCATACGGATACTCGGGTAGTTACTGTGAAATGGGGAAGTCTAGAGGTGCTCCTGCAGGGACAGGTAAACAAACCCTTACTTGTTAATTAGTTATAAAAATGTTTCATTGTAAGTGTTGAGTAAACACTCTTACTCACGGTTGTAACATGTGATGCTGTTATTTATCCACTCTGGTTACTCTAACCAGCTCGTTCAGCATGTTAAATTCAAATGAAGAGTAGTGAGACTGCACTCATATGTCTTACATACTGTGTGTGTGTGTGTGTGTGTGTGTAGCTGTGACCGTCCTGTTAGCAGTGGTTATTATTCTGATTACTGGAGCTCTGGTTGTGGGAGTTTTCCTCAACTACAAGCGCACCGGCTCTCTCATCCCGTCAATGCCTAAACTACCCAGGTACAACACAAACATGCCACTCAACTACCTACAGTTGAGCTGAACCATAAAGCCTCGCTTAAAAACATATGACTTCACTTTAACCAACCGGTCTTGATGTGCTTTTAGTGGATGTATGAACAGCATATCTATTGTAAATATTATGAATTATTTTGGCGATTTTGTTGCTTGAAAAGTGCTTATTTCCTTAAAATAAATGCCACTTGGTTTGATATTTTGCTCATCATAGCCAAATAAATGACTTGAGTGTCCAAATACACAACCGTTCAGAATTTTGCGTTAGCTAAGGTTTTTAAATGTTTTTGAAACTCACCAAGGCTGCATTTATCTTATCAAAAATAGTTAAAAACAGTGATATTGTGAAATATTATTGCAAATTAAAATAACTGTTTTCTATTTGAATATATTAATTTATTCCTGTGATCAAAGCTGAATTTTTAGCATCATTATTCCAGTCTTCAGTGTCACATGATCCTTCAGAAATCATTCTAATATGCTGATTTGCTGCTCATGAAACATTAGTATGATCAATTTTGAAAACAGTTGTGCCGCTTAATATTTTCGTGGAAAGTGTAATGTGTTTTTTTCAGAAATCTTTGATGAATAGAAAGTTCAAAAGCATTTATTTGAAATAGAAATATTTTGTAACATCAAAACAACATCTAGTTAAAAATTTGTAGGTTGCCGCCTACTAAAGTTAACTTACTGCATAGGCTCTGTTATATTGAATATTCATATTTGTCATATTTGCAATTAAGCAACATCTTCAATATTGCGATGGATTTAATCTGCTTTTTATTTCTCTGTGAAGTTCCATGTCATTAGATTAGATCAAAGAGAGCATTAAAAGATGCTTTTGTGTCTCTGATCAGCAAAAGCAGTTTTTGAGTTGGTGTAATTTTCATGTACCAATTTTTTTTCTCCACTGTTTTTCTGTTTCTCTTAGTCTGAGCAGCCTGGTGAAGTCGGCAGACACAGGAAATGGAGTGTCGTTTCATTCAGGTGACAATGTCACGATGGACCTGGAGCCTCAGACTCTGGGAGTGTCGTTCATCGACAGGGCCATGCAGCTGGTAAATGTGCTCTTTTGTGCTGAATTAACAGTAATTTATGACTCCTGGATCGTTAAGTGCACTCAGCACATTTTTCTTGACTTATCTATGAGGCGTTAAATCCCTGGTTGACCTTTTGACCCCAGTGTTAATGTTATCATTTCCATGACTTATAAGTGCACTAGTTTCTAATAGGATTCTGCTGTATCATTAATCACAATGAAAACTTTAGGCTAGAAGATTCTGTTAAAAGTAGTCATCGACCGATCAAATGAGAAAATGACGGTAATTAAATCAGTGATACGAACAGCTTGTAACACTCCAAAGAGAAAGGAAAAAATGAAATCGCATCATATGACCCCTTTAATGTTAATGGAAATGATAGGGTAGGCTCTTTTGCAAAAGTTTGGAGTCAGTAAGTGTTACAAAGAAATTAATGCTTCTATTCACCAAGGATGCATTAAAGGAGACATATTATGCCCCTTTTTACAATATGTAATATAAGTCTCTGGTGTCCCCAGAATGTCTCTTTAAATGCAAATGAGCTGCTGCTCCCCGCCCCCTGATTGATTATCATGTTTATCGCGCTGAAATCATGCGTTTTAAACAATATTAGTTTAAACTTCTGATATATGGTTTTCTGAGTGCTCACGTACAGAAAGCGGCTGTCACAGCATGTGAGTACTAAACTAAGTTCTCATTCACACACACGTTCACATTAAAAACACACATGAGTTTCAAAAACAGTCAGTTATGTCTGTGAAGGTAAAAAGCTGGGAAATAAACCGCATGTTTATTTTAGATCAGCGTGGCAGCGTAATATACAGTAAATAAATCAATAAATCCACTGCTCTGTTGCTGGGACTCTAAATAGTGTTCTGTGAGGGACCTGATTATAGCACTTAAAACCTGGAAAAGTCAGATTTTCATGATATGTCACCTTTAAATTGATCAAAAATGATAGTAAAGAGATTTATAGTTACAAAAGATTTATATTTGAAATAAATGCTCTTTTTTGAACTTTCTGTTTTCAATATTAATAATAATAAGAAATGTTTCTTGAGCAGCAAATCTGTATATTAGAATGATTTCTGAAGGATCATGTGACACTGAAGACTGGAGTAATGATGCTGAAAATTCAGCTTTGATCACAGGAATAAATTACATTTAAAAAGATATTCAAAAAGAAAACGGTTACTTCAAACTGTTATAATATTTTACAATATTACGGTGTATACTGTATTTTTGATCAAATACATACAAAAGAGACATTCAGAAACATTACAAAATCTTTTGAACAGCAGACGGCTTCTGTTTATTACCAAGTGAGCATGGTTATCTGCTGATAATCTCAGATTTAAGTGCCCAAAATATTGACCGATTTAATTGATGTGGCTGATATCAGTCTATAGCTAGCTGTGGGCTGTAGCATTGATAAATAACAACTACTGAAAATATTTATGTAAGACATTTTCTTTGTGTCTTATCCGAATTCTCTGTTTTTCATTATTAGGATGAGAATTTCGCAGACTCTGGTAGGCAGCCAATCACATTTGAGAATCCTCTGTACTCGACTGCAGCCGGCTCAGCCAGCGATCCAGCAGTAATACACGCTACACAGGTATACTTGCTTCTAGAAACCCTCTCGACACTGCTTACAGTATAAATCAAACCTTTTCCACCTGAGCGGGTCTTGTGTTGAGTTTTGTGTTTCTGTGCTTCATACAGGTCACTGTGAACATCAGCGGTGACCAGGTGGAGAATAACTTCTCAAACCCTACATATACCGCTCATGAACAAGCAGTGGAGGTGAAGAGCGGAGCTGCAGAGCAAACGACCACACAGGTGGGAGCATCTGAACAATTGTCCACAGTTTAGCCATTATTTCCTGTGGTTTCTCCATCATGTGACCATGTTGTATTTTATTTTATTTTTTTATTTATATATACTGTATATATATATATATATATATATATGTGTGTGTGTGTATATATATATATGTATATACTGTGTGTGTGTGTGTGTTTTTTTATATATATTTTTTTATTTTTTTTTTTTTTTTTTTTTTTGCAGGAGTCCAAATGGAGTTTCTTTAAAAGAAAACTGAAGCCAAGCACAACATTTGAAAACCCTACATATTCAGAGGTGAGTAGCAAGTCAAAGGCAACTTCAAATATTACATCGTGATTGTTTTTATTGCAGGAAATTGAATATTGACCACATTTCTATGCACATTAAAATTTAGATTAATATTTGCCATATTTATGTAAACATTGATTTATAACTTAACTTCTCTAAACAAAACTAATAAGGAGTGAAACAAGAAACCGTTGTGAAAAGTCAAGCAATCAAGGACATTTTGTCATTAAGCAGACACATTTTTTTAATCACAATCATTTTGTCATAGAAGCCAATATTTATAATACACAATGGAAAGTTTATAGCAAGATTAGTACATAAGCTAGAACATAAATGACATGCAGAAAAGAGAAAGACATCGTTTAATCGATAAATATTAAAAAAGCAACAGAAGTCAATATAAAGTCCGACAAAAGAGTCACATGACCTACATTCCATAGTTTATTCCAGTCTTCAGGGTTATTATCATTAGCTAAAATTAAAACTAAAACCATAAAAAAATTATCTCTTGAAATAAAACAAAGATTGCCTGAAATAAAATATTTTAAAAATTTTGTATATGCTATCATAGCATTTATTTTAAAAACATTTTTTGTATGTTTTCAAATTAATTTGAGTAACTTTGCCCTTTTGTCATTTTATTAGTTTTTTGTTTTTAAATATTTCTTTTTTGCTTCAATTTATTTCGCTTTTCGTTGTAGTAATTTTAGTACTAAATGTATTTCATTTCAGCTACTTGCCAAGGCAACAATTCTCATTTTCATTTTTGTTTTTACTAAAATAACTAGAACTAAATAAACTAAAACTATATAGAAAAACTAATAAAAATAACAGAATTACTAAAGCTTTAACTAAAATTAGCATGAAATCAGAAAACATAAAAATGAACAACTATAATAGAATATCAGCCGTATTAAAATAACACTGGCGCTTCTGTGTGCTTTTGTCATTAATCAGCTCATTAAACCTCCTTCAAGTACAGCACTTAATTACTAAAATGCATTGTAATAAACCATCAGCAGTATTTCCACATGAGAGACAGTAACTGTTCCAGTAGCAGTAACAGCATGTAAATGCTATTTTTTGGGTCTTGATGTGAGAGTGATGTGCATGTGTTCACTGATACTAATGTTTAAGTTCACATCATCATTGTTTGTGTCAGATGCAGGATGAGCAGACGCATGGAGCTGCAGACGCCAGCTCTTCATCACAGCCGTCTCCTTTCGTTCCTCCTCCCAAACCCCAGAAGCGAGAGAAACTCGGCGCGTATTCACCGACGGAGGACACCTTCAGAGACACGGCCAACCTGGTTAAAGAGGACAGTGAAATATGACCATCACACACACACACACACACACACACATGGGAAAATACAAAGAAACATCCCTTGCACAGAATCTATTTTTATATGCAGCCTGCATACGACAGAAATCAATTTAAGATTATTTTTGAAACAAAAAAAAGTATAGATGAGAATAGATGAAATGTTTGTATAGTCTACAGGAAAGAGACTTTGCCTTCTGATATTTTGTATGCCAATTCACGTTGTATGATTCTTTTTTATTATTATTGTAACGTCATATTTGTATATCTTTGCACTGATGCTGCTGAAGGAGAATGTTATGAATATTTTGTACATTTGTAAATTGAAAAGATTTTGTTTGATGATATCCTCTGGTCAGATGTTATTTTGAAATAGATTATTACTTATTCCTGGAGATTCGCACACACACACATACATATGCCAGCGATACTGAGAAAAGTGCTTTGAGAGCCCTCTGAGACTTTTGCCATTTGAGCTGATTCTTCTTAAAGGAACAGTCCACCCAAAAATGAAAATTCACCCTCAGGCCAAGATGTAGATGAGTTTGTTTCTTCATCAGAACAGATTTGGAGAAATGTAGCATTGCGTCAATTGCTCACCAATGGATCCTCTGCAGTGAATGGGTGCCGTCAGAATGACAGTCCTTTTGTACATTTGTAAATTGAAAAGATTTTGTTTGATGATATCCTCTGGTCAGATGTTATTTTGAAATAGATTATTACTTATTCCTGGAGATTCGCACACACACACATACATATGCCAGCGATACTGAGAAAAGTGCTTTGAGAGCCCTCTGAGACTTTTGCCATTTGAGCTGATTCTTCTTAAAGGAACAGTCCACCCAAAAATGAAAATTCACCCTCAGGCCAAGATGTAGATGAGTTTGTTTCTTCATCAGAACAGATTTGGAGAAATGTAGCATTGCGTCAATTGCTCACCAATGGATCCTCTGCAGTGAATGGGTGCCGTCAGAATGAGAGTCCAAACAGCTGATAAAAACATCACAATAATCCACACCACTCCAGCCCATCAGTTAATATCTTGTGAAGTGAAAAGCTGCGTGTTTGTAAGAAACAAATCCATTATTAAGACATTTTTTAACTTCAAACCGTTGCTTCCTAATTCATAATAACACTTCCTCCCGTGCAAATTTTTATTTTTAGGTGAATAATTTTTTTAATCCGTTTTCACAACTGAGAAAACACAATGCATATGAATCACTTATGTACATATACCTCATCTGTGGAACGGCCAGATTCGAGAAAAAGAGCACAGTACTATTAAAGGAATAGTTCACCCAAAAATGAAAACTCTGTAATTATTTACTCACCTGCTCCAAAAACAACCATAAAAGTATCATAAAACTTGCTCAGATGACTTGTGCATTATATTTTAAGTCTTCTAAAGTTATAGTTTTTATAAGGAACTGACACCGAATTGCGTGAAAAAGAGCTGATTATTTTCCACATAATAACAGCATATGGGGTTCAAGTGACATCAGGGTGAGGAAATAATGTCAGAAATGGTAAACTACTCCAAATATGAGATCCAGAGAAAGCGACTCTAAAAAATATGATGATGCAGTGACATATTCTGCTGTAAACACATTTTAATAGAAGTAGAAGACACACCACTTCTGTTTTATATATTCAAATAATACTTGAAATGTATATGCATGTGATTATGACTGTGATATCTGGAGATCTCTGATGTCCCATCAGCGTTTCAGTGGCTTTTCATATTTACTTTCCCATCTGATGGAAGTGCATGGGCAGTGAAGTCAGTATATTTTAAATGATTTTGTATATTAATGAATATTATGAATTTATTCATCTTGACATGCTGATATGTGACTATAGAAAGGAACTGGAAACAAATTAATGCTGCTGTGAAAAATCAAATAAATTTGTTTTTATAAGAAATGTTCCAGTTTTTTTATGTACAAGAGATATACATACACACACACACACACACACATACACATATATATATATATATATATATATATATAGTCCATCAATATTAAATTAAAATTATTTTTATAATCTAGAAAAAACAAGGAAACCCTCTTTTTCCGTATGGTTTTAATGAGCTAAATGATGTGGGTTGGGTTAATTAGTGAAGACAGGTGATACTAGTTACAGAGAAGCCTTTAAAAACTCTCCAGAAGTTGGTGTTGACTGATAGGATTGAGGAAATGAGTGTGTGTGAGTGAGGAGTGATTATTAGGAGTGTGTGTAATGTGAAAAAAAAAAAAAAAAAGGAAGATGATATTTTGATTACGTTTTGGGAGGTCAGTGAGCTGCTTGATGGAGAGCTTTGAGATCTATGCTCTTGGTTCTCTTCAAGCCTGTTCTTCACTCTTTGCAAAGGCTTTTTTTTTTGCTGCACAGTGATGCCATAGAAGATGAACCATTTCTGGTTCCCCCAAGCACCTTTAGTGAACCGTTCTTACAAAAAAATAAAAATACTTTTTCTCTCTCTTAGCGTAAGTAACAGCCTTTTTCCAATATAAAGAGCCTTTTGTGCAATATAAAGGCTTTACGGATGTAAAAGGTTCTTCATGGAACCATCAATGGCAAAAAAGAACCATTATTTTTAAGTCCATTTGGAGTCATTCCTTGAAAGCACATTACCCATCCAAATGCTCGGTTTTATTTATTTAAAAGAAAAGTTCAGATTAAGTAAGTTAAGTCATGATTTTAAAGTCTAGGTGAAACTATATTGTTTTCTGTGTTGGTACGTACATCCAAGTGTAATGGATTATTAAAAAAGAAATAACTAAAAAATGTTGGTTTTATGTATGGGTTGTTGATTTGATGTTGAGATGTAGGTGTTGGACTCAAATTGGAGGCAGGTGAATGTGAGCGTAGGGTTTAAGCAAACTAAATGATTGGAGAAGTCTCGTCTTCATCAGAATATCCATTTATGACATTTTTCTTAAAAATGACACGGTCAAACTTTTTATTAAAAAAATACACATACATGAACGAATCAGTGTGTTGTGGGACACCAAAGGGTGCTTTATTTATGGAAAATGCAACAATGCATAAAATGTATTTTTAATTTCATTATTGCACTGCCCTGCATCATATTTGCTGAATGAAATCCATTACTTTTCTTACTAATTTTGAGATGCTCATTGCAAAAAAATAAAAAATAGTGCCTGTTTTGCTCTATATGTCACTTTCTCACAAAATATGATGCATTTCATAGCATTTTTGCTTTCAACAACCATTTGTAAGGTGAAGTCGTCTTGTATTTTCCCCCTAATCAGCAGAAAACTTGCCACGAAGACATGATTCCCATCGTCCTCTGAGTCAGTTTGCAACCATTTGTTCAATTCTCAGCCCATTTTCACATAAGAATGATTCCAAAGACATTATTTTATGCCTAATTCAGATTTTTCACATTTTCCACTATTTTGCAGTTTGATGATATGAACTTTTGACATTTGACTGCTTTGCATGATGGAAAGTTTTTAATGATATTTTCGAACTCAGCATCATCAAATTCGGTAATATTAGGCCTTTTTTTTTTTTGCAAATCAGCAGAATTGTTTTTCAAGATGCAGGGCTGTGTAAAAATTGTTGCATACAGCAATCCGTTTCAAAGACAAAAATTCACAAAGATGCTTGTCTTGATATGTTGAGCTGCAGTGCCGTTTTCAGTAATTTTTGTAGAATTGTTCAGCTCTCCTTCGTGGAAGGCATTATAATGTTGGTGAAGATGTCTGCTATACATGTAGGCAGGTACGAGAGGGGAATCCAGAAGACTGTAGTGTGTTTGGGGATAACGTGCTGAAAGAGCGTGTTGCATGCATGACGTCACTTTGGAAAGGTCACTACTGGCCAGAATCTTCATGGAGAACTCCTGCAACTTTATATCTGGAGGAAAAGGTTGAGAGAAGTGCAGAGATGTCACATTGTTGTGAGTCAAGTATCATGTGTGTCATTGGATGAGCATGTTTGCATGAACTATACCTTTAAATGCATCATGATATAAATCTCCAAATTCTAAAGTAGTGTTGCATGAAATCTGCATTGATATGTCACCAGAAGCACTCACAGTCCTGCAGGTATGAGTCTCCGTAGGCTCTCCTGACCTCTGTTGGGAGGTTGCTCCACCGTTTCTTCAGATCATCTTCAGTGAGGCTCAGATCTGTTACTTGTGTCTTGAAGAAGCCTGGTTCAGTGATACTTCCGTTCACTCCAAAGTGCATCATATCTCTCCTGATATCAGCAAGAGAGAATAAAATGATTTTAGATACATTATTATTATTAGACATTGAAGTAAAGATGCAAATCTCAAAGAAGTTGAAGTATGGGCACGGTTTAAAAGTTTTACTCCGTGAAATGTCAAAGTGATTCAAGGTTAACTTCAGAAAGACTGACGTTGTGGTGACTGATGACCATAGTTAGAAATTGATTTTTTGGCTTTTTTAAATGATAGTCAGATGATAAGCTTGTTAGTGTGACGAGTGGGGGCAAGGCCGAGAACCGTGGGAACGGAGCGAGGTCGGTGGAGTAATTGATGATGAGCGACACCTGCACCACTCACCGGTCTCGAGTCCCACGGAGGAGCTCCGGAAGGATAAAAGGAGGAGTGACGACAGTGAAAGACGAGAGAGGACCAGGCCTGGATTTTATTTTGTGTTATTGTTCTGTTTGTGGATGCGAGGGGCTGTCGCGCTGTTTTGTGTTTATTTTATTATTAAAGTTTTCTTTGAGCGTTCGCCGGTTCCCGCCTCCTTCTTCCCGAACTACAAACGTTGTTACAGTTAGCAATATAAAAGAATAAATGTTATTTTTATTAATTTTAAAATATTTTTATGTTTTATGTATTTTATTTATATTTGAATTCATTTATTAATTTATTTCAGTCCTTATGACCTGTGATATCTGTACTTTTGTAGTTTGTAGCTAAACTGTTTGTTGCTCACCAATGGATCCTCTGCAGTGAATGGGTGCCGTCAGAATTAAGAGTCCAAACAGCTGATAAAAACATCACAATAATCCACACCACTCCAGTCCATCAGTTAATGTCTTGAGAAGTGAAGAAAGAAAGAAAGAATAGACAAATACAAAGAAGATTAACCATGGTTTTATAGTAAAAGTGTAACATTGGAGGACTTTTTCATTGGAGGAAGTGTTATTATGGATTATGGATATTCTGGCCAGAAGCTGGTTTAAAGTGAAAACATCTTAATGATGGATTTGTTTCCTACAAACAGCTTTTCACTTCAATAGCGTCGTGTGGATTATTGTGATGTTTTTATCAGCTGTTTGGACTCTCATTCTGACGGCACCCATTCACTAAAGAGGATCCACTGGTGAGCAAGTGATGCAATGCTACATTTCTCCAAATCTGTTCCCATGAAGAAACAAACTCATCTACATCTTGGATGGCCCGAGGTGCATGAGTAAACTGTCAGCAAATATTGATTTTGGGGTGAACTATCCCTTTAAGGTCAAAGGTCACTGAAGTCTGCAAACAAACATGTCAGGCGCATTATGAGGAAAGTATGTGGTTCTATAATAAATGATGC